TTGCTAAGACCAGGGTTACATTTCTAGCATTGTGCATAGGCATAAAATAACTTGCTTTAGGTGTGGCTTTAGGCGTCATCTGTTGTGTTTAATTGTTTGGCAAAGTTACATTATCAGAGACTATAAATGGTGCAGAGGTATTATTTCATAATTTTAAACAAATTCCTGACTGCATTACCACATGTGCTGCTGCTTACAGACATCCTGTGCAGGTGTAAGCTTAATATTTGAATTTGCCTGTGACTAAACCACATGATGTGATGAGGTTTGAAATAGCATTGAAAACTCAACGTAACATCTTTCAAGGAACCTGCCAAACCGAAAGGTAGGTGTCAGTAAAAATGTCAAATCGGGCAAATAAACCAAGTGTCAACAGCATTTCTTTTGAACTTAATATGTTTTTTAAAGATCAGTGCAATTATAAAATCTCTGTGGTTTTTATTTGGGACACCAAGCAAAGTTTGTGAACGTGAAGTTACTGCTGCGCCCCAGGAGTGTCCTTGGAGCCCAAATGGAAGCAGTTGTGTCAGGAGTTGGTTGGGAAGCAGGTTGGATGCAGGGGCTCGGTAGCGACACAACACAAGCACCCACACGATGTAAGTGCTCACACAGCGCATGACACACGCACACATACGTGACATTTGCTGTTTTTTTAAGATTGGGTATGATGTAGTTGTAGAGATTTTGAAGCGTCAATTCGTTTTCGCGAAATTTCATTTCCACTTTGTACAACCCTTTTGTCAGTCCACTGCTGGACGAGGGCCTCCCCACACCGTGCAGGTCACGGGGGTTATTTGACCATACTTCACCATGCTGGTCAGTGCGGGATGATTATGAAGTGGACAGGAGAGCATAGCAGTACAAAATGCATTTTGCTATACTACCATCTGCTGCCCACCACATAGCCCAGCAAGTCCTACGACAACCTTCTTTTACATTGTGGTCACCCATCCTAGCAATATACAGGTTCAACCCCCTGCTTCGCTTACAAGATCTGACAAGTGTGGGCACATTCGAGGTGGATTGGTCACAGGCACCAATGCAAGTTTAAATCGTTTAGCATCTAAATGCAGCTGCATCTCAAGGCCATATACAAAAAGCAGGAAGTGCGCATCACAATGAAACCACCAAAAAGGCATTCTTATTTCCCCCACAGTTCCCTCCCCCCATCACCCCATATAGTTTTGTAAGCTTTTTTTAAAGCATCTTGAGATGCTGCATCGACTCAGAAATTGGATTGGGAGCCCCTTAAGGGGAATTGAGTATTGTTTTATTCACACGTGGACGCATTCGGCCATTGTCACAACTTGCAGGAGGGGGAGACCACGTGGCATGAGCGGTTCATGGGCCTGCTCTTCCGCGTCGCGTTGGGCGGCCTGGAGAGTGCCGTGTCCAGGAAGCACCTGGTGCTGCCCTTCACCTCCGACACTCGCTTCTGCGCGCTGGAGATGTGCGCACCGCACGTGCGCCGCCTCGCCGTGGCCCACCCGCTCGACGCATTCTGCTCGCTGCTGCAGCCGTCGCGAGGGCCCGTCCTCTCCACGCTGGCGCGCACCCTCACCTCACTCACCTTCAAGCACTTGGGCTTCGATTGTTGCCCGACGCGCGAGCAACTGGGCGCCGTCGTGCAGTCGCTCTCCAGTCTGCGCGAGGTCTCTTTTGAGCGGTGCCTCACTCTACGGGCAGAGCTGCTCGACTGCGTGCTCAGCGCGTGCGTGGCTTCGGAGCGTGCGGGCAAGCATGACGAGGCAGAGGCGGTGGAGGAGGCGGGCAATGCCAAGAGGGTACGCCGTGACACAAGCACCCCCATGGTCACGCACTCCGATGCCACAGCAGGTGACGTTGACAATGAAACGGAGCTCCTCTATTCAGATTTATCGCCCGAGGAGCATTGCTCGGACGATAACAACAGCTCGGAGGATCTTTTTGATTTGTCGCTCACCGAGGGGCCAAGGATGTGCTGTTGCCGTAAAACTGTCATGCCGGTGTCCGTAGCCACCGTGCTCGAATGCCTGGGCATAGAGGCCGTCGACCCTGAGGGGAGTTGCGACTTCTATGCTGGTGGAAGAGGGCCCGGCTGGGATTCGCCCTTCTACTCGCCTGCCAGGACAGCGGCCCCCACCGGCCCGTATCGCGCTCCATGCCCCCCGCTGACGGTGACGGTGCTGCGGCTCGTTGGCATGCCGCTGTCGGTGCAATGCGTGGCTTACCTGGAGGATGCGCTCTCGCGCTGGATCTGTCTCGAGAAGCTCGTGCTCATCGACACCGGTAAGAATGCCGTCATGTGCTCGGGGCAAATGAGGGCACTCGCCATACTATCTCTCCACCGCTCGCCAACAAAAACCTGGTGCACCGCTAACTTGCACTCTCATTCACTCCTTCCACTGCGTTTTGGAATAGGAGTGATTCATCTTCTCCAGGTGTCGATATTGAAGTAATTCTTGGTTTTGTTTTTAAGTCTCATTTGTATTTTTTTACATCTCATTTACAGTTTTGTTCATTCCATCAAGCCCATATGTATTATATCATGTGCAAATTATTTGCATACATTGTAACAAATTCTCATGCGCAGGATAAAATTAATGTACCTCAAGCATAAAAATCGATTTCAATATTTAGGAATAATTGCATGAAAAAGGTTTGCAATGTGTGTTCAATATGGATTTCGCTTGCTCCCGTTATCACGCATGTGAACACAACTTACGGATACCGATCCTTTGGCGTAAGCATTGTACATGTACTCACTTTCCCAACTCATTGTTTTGACAATTGCACCATCCCATGCTCATGTACAGAGCTGGAGAACCGCTTGCTGTGCGTGCTGCACGCGCTGCGCCGCCTATCGCGTCTGCCGGCGACGCGGTTCTCTCACCTAGACCTGCGTGACGACGCCCTCGCCGTTCCCATGCTCACCGTGGCGGGCTGCGTGCTCAGCTCCTTCCCGCGGCTGCGCTCTCTGCTGCTGGCGACGGTGCTCCCCGTCGTCAGCCCCGGCGTGCCCCTGCAGGGCTGCCGCCTGCGTGGGGCCCTACCGCCCTGCCAGCTTAGGGAGCTCTCGCTGTGCAGCTGCAGCAGAGAGGTGAACCTAGGTCGGCTGCTGGAGCTACTGGAGGCCACACGTGGCTCGCTTCGATGTGTGAGCCTGCGCGGCAGGACACTGGCACATCGCGACGACCTCGCCACGGTGCTGCACTCGCTGGCGGCTCCCGGGAACCGCCTCGACTCCCTGCGGCTGGAGGACATGGGCACGAGGCTGGACCTGGACACGCTGGCGGAGGCCGTGAGGGCCACTCGCGTCGGCGAGCTGGCGCTGAGACACTGCCCTCCATCTTTCGAGGCTAACGCACCGCGGTGGGACGCCTTGGTGCTCGCCCTCCGGCAGAACGCCAACCTGCGCCGGCTGGTGCTCGCGAGGAACCGGCTGGGACGGGAGGGGCTGCGTGCCCTCGCCTCCCTCTTCAGCGAGGGGGCGGCTTGCCACGTCACGCACCTCGACGTCAGCTTCAACTGCCTGCCGCCCGACTCGCTCCTGGAGTTTGCGCTGGCGCTGGGGGGCGAGGGGTCGGCACCGCGCCGCCTGGAGGTGCTGGACATCACCGGAAACCGGCTGCTGCGCGAGCCGGCGGTGGCGCGGCGCGCATTAATGATGCTGCGCAGCTGCGTGGATCACGTGTTGCACGATGACTGGGACACGACTCATGCCTTTGCCGATCACGTGAGCGTTATGTGAGCGTTATGTGAGCGATCGTGTATCCCAGAGAGAGTTGGGAGGAGGTGATCAGCAAGTCAACCCGGTTAGGGGCCATCCATTTAGTAGGCACGCATGGAGGGCGGGGTTAACCCAAATGCGTACGTTTGCATATGGGGGGTCTACTGACAATGTACGTATAGGAAACGGGGGGGGTGGGGAGCCTTGATAATAATTTGTCTGCATTGCCCTTCAAATGAGCCACAGTTCAGTTTCTTAAGCTGTCAGACCACAAGTACTACCGGGAGAAGTAGGACTTTGGGAGAGGTATCACTCGTATGCCACCGTACCCCTGACTGCGAGCTTTCACGCAGCTCAGCAAAATAAGTGGCCAAGGTACGCAACTTAATTCTATTATGTAACCGGTGGTGGACTATCTGTTTGCTTAAACACGTAAATATTATTCATCCTTGATCGTTTCTGCGTGGATTAAATATCGGCCGTTCTATAGGATTCGGGGGGGTGCGGGGGGGGGTGCGTCAAGCGTACGTACGCAGGTGGGGAGGGGGGTGTAAAAAGTACACGTGCGTACAGGGAGGGGCGGAGGGGTCAAGTTTTGACAGATTTTTGCGTACCTACTAAATGGATGGCCCCTTAGCCGCTCTGAGGATGCTTTGTGAATAGACCATGGGACCCAGCGGTAGTTTACGGTAGCAGATCGAGCAGTCGGCAAACTCTGCTTCTGTTTTCCAGTCTCGCGGTGGCGCTCGCAGGTAGATTCATTGAGTAACTGCAATTGAGATGGCGTTGGCTTCACCAGTGTTGTCCCCACCAGACGGGCGCTCCTCTAGTCCCCGCAGCTTCTCAGTCGAACTGGTCTTGTGGGAGCCAAGCGCCTTGCGCTTTGCAGTTTAGATTATTATTCTACCCACACTTATCGTAAGAGATAAGACCCTCTCCTCCAACTGAAGCAATTACCCACCCTTGCTTGGGCCTAGATTAAATTACTTTCAGTGTCACCTCTGGTGGCACAGCTCACGTCACAATATTTTAACAAAGATCTTAAATTGTACAATCAGTAGGTTACCACGTAAGTATGTTCTTTTTCCATTTCGAGAAAGCAAGACCACCAAAGTTTTGCGAGCTTAGGTGGTACTGATATCTGCTCTGACCCATGGACTAAAATTAGTATTGCACTCAAAACGATGTACAAAACACCACATTTCATAAAGATTACGTGTATAAAACTGCAGTTTTGTTGAATTTATTTTGTCAAAACATTTTTTACAATGTTTACAGTCATTGAGTGTCTACTGATTTTTCCTTCAAAAGCGAGTTTGACTTTTTTTTAAACGCACAATTTACGTCCTCGAAATAACGGGAGTTGGATTATACCCGTGTTCCCCATCATAACAGGGTTCTTTGGAAGCCCATACAAAATTTGACAAATGTTGGGAATCAAATCGAAGCTCATGCTTGCAAATTCCCAGAGGTTGAATGTCGTGCAAACCGACGCCGACTTGGTTCTTATCCTTGCCTCGAAGCTGCACAGGAACGCCGCGTGCCAGAGGTACACCTCTGAACCACAGCTCCAAACATAGCTTTAATGTCTGTTTAATTACTTAATACCTGGATATTACGTGTTGTTGGTGTTTTAATGTGAACGCCAACTGTTGAGCACTAAAACGCAAAATTACAAGCTGTAAATTGTCCTATCCTTACAAACTGTCATTCATTTCTCCTGGACAAAAACGGGGATTTGTTGAGAAAGTGGATATGCGAGGCTGTGGGAAAACAATCGCCAACCCACCCACAGATTGGCCCATTATTTCAAGGACGCGATTTACTCAATTCCTATTTACCTGTTACTTCTACGTGTGGCACTACGTACTGGGCAGGGCTCCCCAATTGCCAAGGCGTCGGCGGGGTGGGTAGCGGGCCGCAACCGCTCCGGCGATTTCACAGATCCGGACTGGCGTGGCGCGACAGGTCACGGATGGCACGCTTCATGTTGGGCGCGACTGCGGAGAGACGGAATATTATCATCGCACATTCACACTGCAACCCCGTGGCTCAAACAGTTCATAACCTCCCAAGAACAATGCCTTGTTTTTCTGAAGGTGCCATTGCCCCAAAATCCATATTGTCTCTATTTCAAGACCACGGTGCTGTTGACGAACATGTCGAGTCTCTGGTGTGCAATGGGAGTCACTCACTCTCCTCGTCTGGGAAGAGGTAGTAATACTTGTACTTGGCAGTGCCGTGGACGTTGTAAATCTCGGGGTGCACGATGCCCATGTAGTCTTGGGGGGGGGGGGAGGAGACGAGAGGACAAAACGAAGCATCAAAAAGGGAGCAGATTTCTGCCCAACGTGGGTTTTGCAGGTGCCAGGGCAGTCCACCTGGGGGCGCGCGTGGCTAAGCAAAGGCTTTTTAAAAGACGGTTGCGGGATAATGCACAATGTGTCGGCAGGAAAGGGTACGTTTCCCGACCGTCTTTACGGGCCTGTACCGCGCGTCGTTTGGCACGATGTCCGACGTTTTGGCCCCACTTGCTGGGAGCTTCTTGAGCAAACATTGGCCATCGTGCGGAACAATTTGCAGTGCAACTCAAACATCCAAGAGCTGAACCGGTGCAACTGTGAAAACCTACACCGCAATTAAGGGTCTGTATCACCATATGCATATAAAGTAACGTTCTGTTCAATCAGCCTTTGAGTCTACTGCATCAGCATTTTCCAGCGGCATTTGTTTAAAGCCGCGAACGTCTGAACCCGGGTCTAACTTCGGAAGGCAAAACTGGGTCTAGAACAGTGGTTCTTAACCTGGGGTGCGAGACGCCCTTTCTGGAGGGTGCGAGGCATGGACAGATTTTTTGAGAAGGTAAATCGTCAAAAACACAAATTAAGCACGGGCACGTAAGTACAACTACTTTGTGTCATCAAACCAAATGTATTTATGAACATACAACTTTATTTACGATTGAGAACCAAAAAGGGGTGCAAGGCTGCAGTCAAGGTTAAGAACCACTGCTCTCGACTACGCAAGGCATACATTTGATTGGGGTTATGGAGCACGTTGCCATCGTCAATAAGAGGAACGTAGGTGAAAGAGCACTTGTATTATTTTAAGCCAAAAAGTCCCCATCGCTACACGGGGTTGGCTGCTCCGATTGTATTCGTTTACTTTCACCGTCTATTTTACTGTCACATCCACCATCGATAGACTTTTATACAGACCCTTAGAATTGCATAGAGAGACCCATCGACTCGCATGCTGTTTACATGATCCACAGACTTAAACAAAGAGCCATGAGGCACACAGACTCGCATGATCCATAGACTTACAGATGGCGTTTTCGTCTGTGCCTCTTTTCTCGGGCACATCCACATTCGTCATATCTCATTCCCCCCACATCATTCTCACCCCTCGGTCACCCTGTACTCCTGCCGGCTGGCAGGCTGGAGTAGGCATCTCCATAGCCCTTGTCATTGCATGTCCATTGTAAGAGGGCAGTTGTGTGTGCCGAGTAAATCACATCTGCGACCGTCTTACCGAGAAAGAGGATGCGGGGAACGTATCTTCCATCCGGAGCAAATGTATCGTCCAGGGGTTCATCCTTGGTTGGGAGAGATAGGTGGAATTGGGCGACATGGAGGTTAGCGAGTCTTGAGACTCTGTGAGGCTTTACTAGCTAAATGAATTATATTTCCCATGCCGTCTTGTATTTCGGACCAAGATTAAACAAAACTGCTCTATGTGACGGGGTCTACTTGGCCATTCCTCTTCACGCCTTCTCACCGCCTCCCTCCTCCAGCTCAGCCCCTCGCCACTTACGTAGGGATTCGCCCTTGTCTCTCGAGTTCCCATCTGGAAACTAAAAAAACAATAACCTACAAAACTAACCTAAACATTTTTTTTTATTTTACCAGGTAAGGCTCACTGAGCTATATAGCTCTTTTTTTAGAAGCGACCTGGCCACAAATGATAGCTCAACGAAGCGGCTTATCACGTGGAAATTTATATCGGCCAAATGCGTGTTTCTAAGTGTGGAGGAAATACCCGGAGGACCCAGCGAAAAATCCACGCGATCACTAGGAGAACATGCAAACTCCACGTATACAGGTGTCAGGGTGGGTGATCGAACCCACGACCTCCTGTATACCAGGCGAGGCAGTTAACATCTAGCCATCTTGGCGCCCTGTATGCAAAGTGGATGAGACCAGACCATCAATCCGGACATTAGAGTGGCACCCTGGGGTCGGTGACCAAGGGGAAGACCTCAAATATCAGATGATGATGGGGGTAGTGATTGAGACTGTAAAAACGGCCCTGAAATGGCTGTGTAATAAGGGGAATATCTAAAGTCAGATTGTTGGTGGTGATCAAAAAAATTGTAACAACTATGGGATCTGGCGGGGAAGAAGAAAGCGTGGGCCGCTTGGCAGAGTGGAGGACACTCACGAAGAGGTTGACGAAAACCATGTGGTGGCTCAGCCTCAAGATCTCCCTGGAGTGAGCGAAGCGGGGTCTGAGGACTGCACGCACAGACACGGCGGGATCATCGTTTGCACACTGAACATCTGTGGAGAAAGCTTCATAGCTCATCGGATTCCTCCGGTATAAAATAAACAGTGTGATTCTGACACACGAGCACCCATGGTTACCAACCATTATGGAACTTTGCGGCTAAGTCAACAGTGGTTGTCCTATGGTTAGACTCGCCCCTGCAAAACGGAATGTGGAATTTCCATCACTGGCTCGGGGCTGACTTTGAAATTATTTCCTGCGAGTGTGAGAAGTGTATGTGACCCCATCATAACGTTGCAGACGTTATTTCAGTCTCTCTCGGCCTTCCAAAGCGACTTATTTAATTAACTCGTCCCCACAATACATGTTAACATTACACGCCGCTCGAGACACTTGACACTTGAACATTTTAACAAAAACATTACTTGGCGACGCAGCTGCTGCATTGGCCAGTGGGTGCACGGGGACAAATAGCAAACACGACACATTGGTCAATAACACTGGCCTTAAAAAGAAAAAGTCTACAATAGGTGACGTCTCGGGTCATGGTCCTTCCCTGCTGCAACATCGAGAGACCGTGGGAAAGGGCCACTGTTCGAAAACATTGCCCATTATATATATTTTTTTCCCTCTCTCTTTTTAAGGCCAAAGTGTCGTTGACGAGTTTTCTTAAACATTTCAGTTTTATTACATGGCAATTGACAGGCGTGCCCTCCCCCCCTGGGTGTGTATAAAGGAGGCGTAATGCGGAGACTTCAGAAAGTAGCCTTTGGAACAACGGTCTGCTACATCCAGGTCCGTTTCCCAACGCACGATGGCACGCCGCGGGCACTGCGACGGCCACGAATGCAAATGGCCCTTCTCATCTCGTGGCAATAATTCCGTTGAAGACGTGCGCCCGATGATCACGACCTCACCTTTGCACATGGGGCACCAGTGCTTGTGAATGAGCATGAGGATGGGTTTACCACTGCAAGGGGGGGAGGGGGCAGAGGATGCACACGCCACATCTCATCAGACACTTTGGAAGCCCACCCCACGAAGATAAGCTCGTCGGTTCTACCCAGGGTGGAAAACGGATGCTCGATAAACACAGTCACTGTCGTTCCTTTTTTTACGAGAAATGTCTCGAACTGTGGTTCCCATAGTATGATTAACATATACTAATGTTTTGGGTGGGTGGCAGTAGGGATGAATGTGACGTGAAACAATTACGGAATATAAAAATAAATATCAAGTGGCTATCGACACAGTATATATATACCCCTGGCTTCCTTCCCCGTGTTGGAAACTACCCATGGTCGATACTGCCATCAACTGCCACCCCAGGTGGTAAAAACCAAACCTTCGTTCATAGACTAAGGAGGACAGAGTTAAAGCAGTCGAGTTGAGATGCGATGCGATATTATCAGCAGTGGATAGAGCAAGGAATGATAACTACACCATTCCATCCACCCACGTGCTCCCTACATGCTCACAATTCTTCCGCCTCCTCCAAGGCGTCGCCCAGAGAGTGGCTCCAGTTGTAGTGGCTCCCGAAACCTGCAGGTGGATAAGGAGGTGGAGGGTGGCGCGAATCATCGTAAAGGCGTGGAACGACGCGCAGGTCACTTCGTGGCTCAGAGCGCAGTGCCGTGCTGGCATCGCCGAGATTTTGGAATCGAATCCTGGGTTTCAGATTAAGCCGGGTCCGAAAGTGTAAGAAGTTGATGGTTCGCAGCACGGACACACTGTCTGCACACACAAAATAAAAATTATATTTGGGTTTGTACGTAATTTGCCCAAATCCCAGCTCTGACAAGAGAACAAAACTCATCGATTTGCATGCCGTGGAGCGAATATAATGTACTCTCCGTACGAGGGCTGGTGCTGCCCCCTAACGTGGATCAGAGGACAACTTGAAGAGTTCTCTGACGCAGTTGTATTACATCTCGTTCCGCGCTCCCGTCTCGGACACCGGTTGACTGCGCCGCCTGAAAGAATTCGTAATGGGACCGTCCACTCATGGCGACGCTTGGGATGAAGATTCAAAGACCTTGAAAAATGTATTATTTTTTCCCCCCATTCAGCTCACGACACATTCATCGAATCACGTGGGCAAGTAATCGATTTGTTTTAATATTTGTATATGCAGTGGGTTCACATAACCGCAGCATCCACTAGAGGCAGTTAAATTCACCACAGGGTCAAAAAAAGAATAGATTCTTGAACCAAATCAAAAATTAAAAGTCGTGGAAGGGGAATTATCACTACCCCGCTGATGAATGATTATTATTAAAACTATCTAGGGAAATGGTACGTTTATAGTATTTGGCTGTTATACATTTTAACGTGATACGCCACTTCGTTGGGCTATCATTTATGGCAAGGTCGCTTCTGAAAATAAGTTATGTAGCTCAGTGGGCCATAAACTGGTCAAATAAATAAAAGCACAGGTAGTTAGTTTTTTTAGTCCAAATTAATTTAAAATCAGACGCTCACCGTGATCCAAGCCGCCGGGACAAGACTCCTCCAGCGGGGCAGCTCGTAATCCGCAGGGAAACAACACCACCACCGTCACCGCCGCCACCGTCATCATTACAGTCGCCATCGTCAGCACGCCGAGCGACGACATTCTACGAGAGATCTGCTCGGTCGTACTGTGGTGTTGGAACTCTCTTCGCTCCGATCAAACCCAGCGTGTCCGGGGTCAGGAGGGGGCCTTCAAGTGGATGTCACGACGCCAGCTGTTGGTCGCTTCTCTCTCTCTCGCCCTCTCACTTCGCCATTCCAATTCCCCCCGCCCCACCCCCGTTTTTAAAATCAATATCCCACAATCCCCCCCCCCATCTCCCTCTTCTCAGTCTCGTTCCCGCACTGACTCTCCACGTCTACCCATTTCCCCTGCATCTCACTCCAAGTCCATCTCTCGTTCCCTCTCTCCCCCTCCGAGCTGCTTCAGAGGACACGTCGAGGCCACTCACGCGGTCGGTTTGTGGATTTTTTTTGGGTCTGGACAGATCGAAGTGGAGAGAATTGCACAACAGCGATGCCATCACACAGCTCACGAGCTTGTATCTCCGAGTACGGTCAAATATATAGCCCATGAGCCCAGAGCAGATATCTTCCTTGTCTGTACCACCCGAGGTTGCATAGCGTTTGTGGTTCCTATTTATTTACGTGGACAATTCCAGTTAATTATATAACCATTTTGAAATTAGGTCAAATTTTCCACCAGAATTAGCAGCGTCAATACATTGGCACTACGGTCGTTGTTACTACCTTTGGTAGTTACCAATTTCTGTTGAAGCCCATTATTGTAATAAAATGTATTCGGTTGATGATGCACACGAACTTAGAGATCCCCCGTATAGCCTTAACAGACTGGGGGTAAGTGCTGTTAGCGAGCACCTCTTAAGACCGGAAGGGCAGACGAGGGGGTGGGTGGCCATCACCGTGGCCGGCCGCTTTGTCTTCCTAAGTGGCGGTGTTTGCACATCGCACCAGGTACCCATTTGAGGCGGAGCCGACCCCAGGAGAGGCTCAGCACTGGTTTATACAATCATCGCTCGTATTGGCCGTGAGCGGGAATCGAACCGGGGTCCGCCAGGTTCGTAGCGCAGCGCGCTGACCGCTGCGCCACCGCTCCCCATGATGCACAACTCAACACACGCGCGAGTCTCCTGCCCAAACCAGACATCCCCCCGTACCGTCACCCACGCCGCCGCTCCCGGCAGCCTCGAACCGGCGCGCCATCGTGTCCCCCCGTCCCCTCCCCCGCGTCTCCTCTTTTTCGCGCTCCTCCTCAACGGCCACCCACGGGAGGGGAGTTTCGCAACATCTGTGCGGTGATCCTCCAACCCTCGCTGACTCCACAGTGCTTGGATCACAGGCGAGCGCCAACGTGATGTCATGGGTTCGCGCACTGGCCTTGAAATTCACGGGTTCACCGGCTCGTCGTATTTCTTCTACCCCCCCCCCCGACAGCCACCCCCACCCAGCCCCGCCCCCAACGTGTGTTTGTCGAACCGGCAATATACATGGGTTTCATCCACGGTCATTTGATAGGTCAGGTCATGTGTGGTAGGGTAAAGTGTGGGTGCTTCCACTTCTTCCGAGACGTCTGGAAGAGTAGGCCAAATGCCCATCGAGAGGGGTTGAACGCCATGCAATGGAGGCCCTTCCGCCAGCAAGGGCACGGGGGAGGCATTGCAGGCCTGAACCTTTTGCGTTCCATCTCTTTTGAAGATTCATTGCAACGTTTTGAAGTCCCAATTGTCATCCATCCACTCCATAATCCATCCATGTATTGGCATCCATTAATCCGATGACAACATTTTTATAAACATAGAGGAGTGCAGAGCTTAGGATCGGGGTTTTTTTTGGCACCTGACTGCCTTCCAGCGTCTGTGCTTTTTTCGGCGATTGTGAAATACAATTTACATGGACTAAAACATTAATTATTTATATTTATTAATAATCATCCTGCCGGGCCATGCAACGTGAAGCAATGTTTGTGCACACAGTTGATCCGCACCGCCACATTACGTCCTCATGACAACCGCCGCCTATATTTGGAATTTCAAATTAAATGTCAGGTGGCCCAGGGGTGAAAGGCTGCGTGCATAGATGCGTGTGAGCACGAGGACTTCTATTCAAATTGTAATGGCAATAACCTGCAAGCTATTGCTGGCCAGAATTGCAACAACAAAAAATAGCCCATGCCCCTCCCCGCACGTTCACCGCGTAAATTGATGGCATCGGTCGACAGCAGGTTAACCGGAAACTGAAAATTGTCACCAGCAACAAACATGCGACAGACGCGTGCGACTTGCGTAGGCGTCAGCGGTTGCGATGCGTTGCTCACCGTCGTATTTTCGTGTTGTCCTCGTTCACTTCGGCGGCGACGTCCAACGTTTCCGCTCCCTCCCCGCGCGAAACCGGATGCTCCAAACGTCTAAGCTACCCGCCAACGCAAGCCCGCACTGACCAGCGTGGTGAAGTATGGTCGAATAACCGAATTCGCTTCCTCAATAATCTCTCCAGCACGTCCACAAATACATCGGAGGGCAATGCACACGTACCGCCAACAACAATATTCATAAGAACTGCATGGTAGTCGTGTGGTCTCCCAAAATGTCCACAATGCAGTTCTTTCGAAGTGGTGGTTTCCCGTAGACGATGGAGACCGTTTTTGTTTTTCTTTTGGCTTGCGCTAATTTGTTCTGTTGTGATGGTATTTTGTCGCGATTTACACATTTGAAATTCACACACCTGTAACTTACCTATCTTTAGAATGAATCTATAGCAACAAGTGCATCACCATTACTCTGGTCAATGCCCTACTGGACGAGGTTGGGCCTCACCACACCGTGCGGGTCGAGGGGTCTTCTTCATCAGCAGAGGGTTGAGTCGGACTCAGATGGGTGACCCACCACCAGGGCTTGCCAGGTGCCGTCGGTGTGCGGTTGAGAAGTGTGGCCAGCAGATGGCAGCGTTGAGTGTCACCCCTGTGCTCGTGTGGAGATTTCTCCACGGGTTCGGTTCTCTCTCAATTTTACTCCCGAGTTGACCGAACATCCCAAATGATAGAGCACGAGCCTCCTGAAAGAGCGTTTACGGGACTCGGTAAGGCCTCCCTCTGGCTAAAATAAACACCGTTTCATAACACCGAACAAATGAAGTCGTCGCAAGGTTAATTTGTTTTTTTTCTTTTGTTTTTATTTCATTTTTAAAACCAGAAACAAATAGTAAAACAAACAAAAAAATGCTCTTCTGTACAGCGTATACCGTTTGTATTAAAGCTACCGCTATAATTCAATAGAACTATAATTTGCACACACGCATATACTATATATAAATAACAGCGACCATCTCTACTGTATACAATAGACGTTGATCATAAAGGCCCCCGTGAGACAGAAATAACATTATCTATTACAATTATTATTGCACGAGAGTCCTGGAGCTCATTCGATAGATACCTTGGCTCGAGACGTGAACGTGGAGCCACGTGGAAGGTGTCGGTGGTGATGCAGGCGGGGGGGGGGTGTAATATTGTGATAGGAGGGGAGAGGGGCGAGGGCCCCCCCCTCCCCCAGTGACGCGACAGAAAGCCCAGCTCGTGGGCTCAACAAAGACAGCTCAAGCACCCCACTCCCTGTCAAACCTTAGCACTGCGCGCCCTGCACCCAGTACACTGCAATGATAAGTGACGACTCAAGCAAATTGACAACACCAGCAAGGCTTTGTGAGCATTAGAGAGCACCGTGTGTCAGAACCTATGTAAACGAACGCAGTATCTACTTCCTATACCGTGTATCAAAGTAACAATCGTAATAATTTACAGTCCTTTATTAAAAACCACTGCTGGATGAAGACTCTCTTTTCCCCACCTACCAACACCACTTCCCAAAGTCGTGCGTGCCACGCACGGGGAGATAGTTTGGTTTGACCATACTTCACCACGATGGTTTAAGGCAATGTGAATTTTTTTTTAAAAAAAAAGTTGTACGTAAGTTTGTTTCAATTATTTGTGCTTGTACAACAATGAGCATTTTGAGATTTTTTTTTAGATAGCACCCCCACCCCTGCCCACCTTCCCCCCAAAAATACACACGGTACTCAGCACAGTAGCGAATCGACTGGATATACATTCTCCATAGCTTACGCCTCCTCCCTCCCCGAGAAGAATTAACAAAAACCACGAAGTTATATTCCTCTCCGCGTAAACATCGGCGAACTCAACGATGTAACGCGAAACAACAAGCAAAACATCTCTCCTGCGCGTTTCGCTCGTTCAGTGTCCGTCACGAAACGTTCACTCAACGTTGAACGCCAGCGCAACTCCTCTAACCCGGTCGCGCGCATTGCATTGCCAAAACACAGAAATATACATTTGATCGACAGGATGTGGTAAAAAAAAATATTGTTATTATTACAAAACGTACCCAGTCTTTTTTGTTTGTTTTTACTTGACAAGAAAAGAGAGACGTGAAACACGTCGACAACAACGGCAGAAATACACCACCGCATTGTTCTTGAGCGGTGATGAATACGTGACAGGAATGGTACAGCAAAGGCCTCCACCCGGTGATGTACAGAATTCCGTTGTCTCCACACGTAAAGATACATTGTTATACGTGCGTTTCATTTAAAAGCACCCCAACGTGAGCCGGCAACCTTTTGTTAAACGCAAGCAAACCCTGAACCGCGTTCGACCTTTGCGCGTCTCATCAGCAGAGCCAGGACTTGTTTAAACCAATGCTGCCGGTTTCCCAGATGTTATTGGCAAGATCACTCCGTCTAAACGACGGAGGCGGCGGCGGGATCTGTTCGGCTGTTAAATGGAGACGGGATTCCTGTGTCAGCCGGAATCCAATTAAACCGGCCAGACCCAGTCGATTCTGGCACCATCCCCCTTTCCGCCTTCGGCTGTAATAAACCCGCCTCTCGCGACACAGGTGTGCGCGCGAGTTGTGCGCGTGAGCGCGCAGGTATGGGTAAAGGCGCAGCAACTGCAACTGCTCGCTCACGCCACTGCTGGCGGACGGGTACACCCCCCCCCCCCCGCCGCCCCCGCCCCCACGAGGGGGAGCTCTGGAGAGTTCCTCTCGAGACGGTATGTGGCCTACTCTTCCACGATCGTTGGAAAAGAAGAGGTGGAAAGTACCCACCACTGTACCCAGCGCAGCTAAAAAAAAAAGGTTGCAGATGATTAGCAGTGTGTCTGCTCCGCGTCGCTTCTCATTAAACAATATTATTGTGGGATGTTTATTTTTATTGAATTTTTGTTTAAAAAAAAATGGACGGGTGCTCTATTACGTCGATCGCGTTGGTAAAAAAAAAAAATTCTACAGCGCACGCCGGCGCGAAGTCGCTAGCCCCTTCTGTAAGCGACGATTGCGTTTGCGCAACACAATTGACCCGTTGTTTGTTGCTTGTGCGTGGCGATGGGAACACGCGTGGGGGCGTGCAGGACTCTGCAGAGCAGCAATGCCGCCGCCGCTGCGTGTACGTAGATGCGCATTTGTTAGTATTGTTATAATCGTCGTCGTCGTTGTTGGTATTATTATCGTTATCATCATTGCTGTTGTTAAAGACCCAAGGGGGTGCGTGTGGTATTTCAATTGCTACGAGAACGGCCTTCGATCGAGGGTTCAGGTGAACGAAATTAAAAGCAATGCAGCAATGGTCAGAAGTGGCGCGGTAGTTGTTGAGTGCGCAGGCGATGTAACTGCGCGTAGGGCCTCCCCGCGAGCCGGTAGGTGGCGAATTAATGATACCATTGTCATGTTTGTAGCATCCTCCAGTGACAGAGACACGGTGCTCTTACAAAGACGGAGATTTAAAATTCCGTAAGGCCCCGCGCACTCCCTGACCCCCACCCCCTCTAGGGCGTCTAGGCAGGCGTGGGGGAGGTGGGGAGGGGGGCATCTTAGGAGGTGCAGCCACTTACTGGCACAAGGATCGAAAGGGGCTTTTTTGGACTAACCTTCCACGCTGGTCACACGTCTTGGAAGAGGTGGGGGGTGGGGGTACCCACATTTTACCCCACCCACTCACACGCGACCTACCGGTTGACCGATTGCAGAATTTTCTAACGGTGGGACATTACTTTGACAGTAAAAAGGAAAAAAAATATAAACTATTGTGTTTTTGTTATCGATTGTACAGTGTCATCCGTTAACGCCATAAACCCGTCTTGGTTACCGTTTTGGGCACTGCATCTTTTTTTAAAAATAGAAGACACGCATTCATAAACCTTACCGCAGTGCTTCATTTCGTTTTTTTTTTTGGGGGGGGGGGTGAATATTTCCCGGGGACTGAATCCCCCGGGCGACAAGTTCCGGCTGAAATGAAGCGCCCCCTTCATTGCGAAAACGGTGCGCAAAGTGGCAACACCACCAACACCTCTCCATATACCATACCCTGTGCACGCGACACTTCAAGTAAATGTCTTTCCATATTACTCTCTTTTTCTTTTCCAGCATCCCAGCGCCTTCATTATAAAAAAAAATATATATATGAATCACAGACACTCATGGAAACAAAACGTACAATGCTGCTGCTGCTGCTGCTGCGTTAAAGCATCATTGTACGCACTAAGAAGAGACCGAATGAGCTGCCTGTGCAACAGACCACGTGGTGTGCTGCGTACAACTAGAGCAGCGCTCCGCCTAGCTGGTGCTCTACATATATTTATACTCGCCGATTCCTCACTCCTCCCCCCCACCCCCCCAACTCCGCATTGCTATGGCCGTGAACCGCTGGGACACTATTGGAGAAGGCACGGTTTTTTTTGTGTGTCAAGTCTCGTATACAATTACTCAAAACACTGCTCGCTCGTACCGTGTCACACTGGGACACCGAGACAAACACACACGCGCGCGCATGCACATGCACGGGGGCATTCAAAAGGCGTATGAGAATTGTCATTGTTTTTTTAAACACCGCAGTGACTCGTCTTGCTGTGATAAGAATTTGACCCGCTGCCTTCAGCGCCGCACATACGTTCTCACTCGAGGTGTAACTTTCGATTCGCCGGCGATTCCACGAATCCTACGGATTCGGTTCAGCTGTTCGATATGCGTAACATCGATTATATATTTTTGTTCTTGTTGTTTTTACATCGTGGTGAATTATAGCGGCCTCTAGCGGCTGCAGTGCTCGCGTGAATGGAACCCATCAGGATGAAAATGACATTCATATTGACACGTATCGCTGCGTGATATGGTGTAGTTAAAACTGATACGTTCGGATGCTCGACACACAGTTGCACCCCGAGTAACCATCGTGAGCCATATTCATGCATGGATCTGACGGCTCCCCGTGTGTGTGTATGTGTGTAAGTGCACCTAGCATGGCACAAGCGTCACCGCCACTTAGTGGAACTCTGCTGTGTTTGGATATGTACCCGTACGTGTGTCGTTCAGCGTCCTCGAAGAGAATTCATTTCTTGGATGAAGCGAAACGTTGGACATCGTGCCCGAACAACACGCGGTGCACAACCCGAAATCGAACACCGGACCGGTATGAATAAAGACGTTGCGTTGGTGTCTCAATGGGTATTGGAGTAGCACCGGACACGAACATCAGATAAGCTAATCAGAACCCCCAAAGCGTGTTGTGAATTTAACCAATTCAACAAAAGAACCTCAACAGCGGATGGCAGAGTCGACTATCATATTTACAATTTTTTTTAACATTATATACAACAAAACATTACGATAAGGCAATGGAGTCCTTACTTGAAGAGACTTCCCATCGAGATGAAAAAATCTCTTTTGCAATGCAAACGTGTCCAAAAAAAATTTCACTTACACTAAATTATTTATAATAGATATCGAATCTTACTGAGAACGTAAGTCTTAAGGTGTCTCACTCGTCCAGTGGTGACAACTTAAATCAGGCAGCGTCCATGGAAGACGGGATGGGGGAGGATAGAGACGGGGATGGAGTGGGGGTGAGTTTAAAGGGCAGGCGGGCGGGGCGGGGGACCTTCATCCTCACGTGTGGCGCTTCATGTGAAGGGCCAGGTGGTCCGACCTAGAGAAGGCCCGCTCGCACAGGTGGCACTGGAAGGGCCTAAATCCCGTGTGCTTGCGGAAGTGGCGGGTCAGTTCGTCGGAGCGCGCAAATTTCCAGCCGCAGCCTTCCCACGTGCAGTGGTACGGCTTCTCGCCTGCAGAGACAGAGAGGAAAGGCGACAAAGGTGATTAATGTTATTATTATTATCATCATCATCATACGCGTGTACAGACGCGGCCATCTGTTACACACAGCAACGGACGGTTAAGAATGGCCCGCAGGGGTTGGTGGTGTGCAAGTCGCCAAAAATCAACCGATGCCAATTCCCGCGTCGATCGATTCACCGGCAGGAAGTCAAATAAGTCGCCACGTGACGACTGCTACAGCAGCAGTCCACTGGCTCACCCACCCACCCACCCAATAGCCACCCACCCAATAGCCACCCACCCAATAGCCACCCACCCAATAGCCACCCACCCAATAGCCACCCACCCAATAGCCACCCACCCAATAGCCACCCACCCAATAGCCACCCACCCAATAGCCACCCAAACCACCCCCAACTAGCCTCGACTCAGACAAACGTTACCGAGTAACTGCTCACCACGCTAATCGATGACAACGTCTCGACTCGGTACCTCGCGACCCACCAACACCCACAGGTAGAGATTCGCGCCCTCTACCAACCATCGGGTGCGTGCAGTGTGTAATGTGAAGCTTTAGAGAAGAAAACAAAAGCATAGGCAAATTGCAAAGAGGCGGAGAGTGATGGGTGGGGGCAAGGAATGGGAGTTAAAAAAAGTGCCCCATCAGCCTGTAAATGACAGCCACTAGAGGCCGCTGAAGAAAAACAGTGTGGGTAAAGGGTAAAACAAAAGTAACCGAAACTGCACGAATACAACATTTAGCACCAACTTTGATTAGAATTATTGGGCCATTTCTCCCACGTGTTCCTGCAAACCTGGCGATAGACCGCTGCTGCGAGTGCTGTTGGTGAGCACATGTGAAGGCCGGCACGGCACCACACGAGGAGGGGGTCGGTGGCACAACGTCACGCCCGGCCCCCCTTTGTCTCCCCGGTGCTAATGTTTTTGCACGCCGCAAAAAAAAATAATGGTATCCATTTAAGAATATTCAGATATTCGTCATCGATGTTAGCTATGTGAGCAGCAATCGAACCCAGGCCGTCGGGTTCAAAGAGCAGTGGCGCTAATCGCTACACTAACGCTCCACACACACTTTTTTTTTACCGTACGAAGGCAAAACTAAATACAAACACATGCCGAACATCCGATCTGGGCTAACACCCAACCAGATCGCAGTCGATGGACAAAGCAAAGACGACCTCCAAACTAAAGTGATGACACTAAAGTGATGACACTTTAGTTTGGAGGGACTCCCGATTGTAGTACAACCAGCAGCGGCAGACGAGACAGAATAAATCCACTACAGACCTGGATGAAAAACCGAAAGAAGAGCCATAGGCTGTGCCCTCCAAATACAAAGACCCCCCTGATAGCCTTAACAGACTGTTGGGGCAAGTGCAGTTAGCGAGCACCTATGAAGGCTGCAACGGCGCACGAGGGGGTGGGTGTCCAGCACCACGGCCGGCCGCCTTTGTCTCCCTCGTGGCGATGTTTACGCATCGCACCAGGTACTCATTTGAGGCCGAGTCTACCTAGGGGAGGCCCCAGGACCGATTCAGATAATCGTCACTGCTGGTGGCCTTGAGCGGGAGTCGAACTCGGTACACCGGGTTTGTAGCGCCGCGAGCTAACCGCTGCGCCACCGTTCCCACCTTAATCACTGCCCCCCCCCCCTTCCCCACCCCCTCCGGCTTGTCTACATAACAACACCCCCCTCCCCACCCCCCCATTACAATGTAAACTCGTCTCTACGCGCCTGCCCACCACCTCGTCCAGCAAAGGGCGTTTCCCGAAGCCACCTTCATACCTAAAATGGCACACAGCCCGCGCGCACTCGTGTTCACTACCAATCACGTAGTGAGATATATGTATTCCAAACTTTTAAAAAAAACACATTCTGAAATAACACTATAGCCTTGTATGTATGTACTGTGTGTGTACTATGTTGAACTTATTTCGCACCGTACGTAGCCAACCGTACCTGACATAGAAACATATCTATCGAGATTTTATAAATATAAATAGATGACGTGTCGGGCAATTGCCCCTTTTTTCGTAGCACGTGAATATAATTGTCCGTTCAAGGCCACGGTGTTATTGAGGAATGTGTTGAGCTGTTGTTGTTCATACTCTTTGGTCCTTTCGGTAAAGTCACGTAGGTAGAAATAAAATTAAATAAATCACGACGTTTCGAACGCAACACAAGCGTTCGTCTTCAGGTGAAAAATCACGATATCGTGATATATTTAATGATTTTCACCTGAAGACGAACGCCTGTGTTGCGTTCGAAACGTCGTGATTTATTTAATGTTATTTTCTACCTACGTGACTTTACCGAAAGAATCAAAGAGTATGGACTCCTGCAGTCACGAAAGCTTCAAATCAAGATCTGTTGTTGTTCGTCAATCGCTAAAGAAGCCCAACGCAGGAGCACCGCAGAGCCGTTGCGTTTGTCGTTTTGAACGTAGCGCGTCACGTGCCCGTGAATTAGACGCGAGTCTCAGGAGGCAATGAATACCAAGCCATGCCACGCGTTTGCATAGAAAGAATACGCTAATTGTACCCAAGCGGCGGACGTAATAATTTGTATGTACCATTCGTAATGGTCGCCGCTGTTATCGCAGGTGACGGTACTGTCAGTAATTACCGCATAGCATCTATCATTCATAAGCATTTGTATATGCGATTCGTAATTTCTGCTGCTACTGTTGTTATTATAGCAAGTGACGGTACTGTTGGTAAGTATAGCCTCTATATAATTATTAAATACGAGCATCATAACACACGAGGTATTCCACAGCGTGCATATACAGGTGTTTTAAAAAGATGGACCCCGATATTGAAATCGTACCGCTTTGAAATTGGGTCCGTCATTTTAAAACACCCTGTGTATTACAGTTATTAAATATTTTACGGAACTTGTCTTCGCTTGCAAAATAGTTTACGTTAAATTTGCCGTTACGCTTAATGTAGGAGCAGTTAAAATAAGACCGATAATATTTTTTTCGCTTTCCGATATGTTTTGGGGGGTTTCTTCCCCCGGAATAAGTAGGCCTTATAGTTCGTTGCAGTGAAATAATATAATCGTATGGCAAGCGAATAGCCCACGATACAACACATATATATACACCCGAACCATAAATCCTTCCCTGAGAGAAGACAATTTTGACCAATCGTTACTTTAAAAAAGCATGTTTATAACAAAATGACTATTTAATGGAAAGTTACTTTATTCCTCTAAGTAAGCGTAAATGTGTTTGCTTTTTATTAGCAACGCAGCGACGAACGAATATAATTTAAAACATAAATTAATTTTAAAGAAAAAAAAACCCCGTAAATAGATATGTAACTTTCAAACAACAAAAAAAGCAATAATACGATTGGTAACCCTTAAGTTAACCAGGCACCCCTCGCTGTCTCTCCACACTTTGAGGACGTTCGACTCCTTGGCGGAGGTTTTGATTACATTTATTCTTTGGTGATGCTGCTGTGCTGGCAGTTGGCGTACATACACGATTAACAGTAACATGAAATAAAATATCACACCCGTCAATAACAACAACACTGGGCGTGGCCTTCAAAGGAAAAAAATATATATAATAGGTGAATTTACGGGCAATGGTCTTTATTCACGGCGTACGTAAACGACCCTTCATGATGTGCTATGAACAATGGGCCTTTCCCGAAACGTTACTTGCTATATATGTTAAGACCACAGTGGTTTTGACAAATGGTGTTGAATGGTTATTCGTGGTTTAATTAAACACGGGTAGAATCCATTCCGGGTCTTCAAAATGCGAATTAAATATATATTTAGTTCGCCAGCCTTTTTCGGCATTCAACATGTGTTTTTTTTAAATCAGGCAAACTCTGGACTGGTTTTGTGCATTGCGGTTCCCATTAGTTGGGCGCTTTTGAAAATAAATGCTACCGTATTTCCAGACGTTATTGTTAATAAAGTGGCATTATTTAGCCGCTTGATTACAAAACACGTTTCGAAAAGGGCCACTTAACAATTACGTCTATACGGTTGGATTGTTATGTGCTTTCGAGGTTTTTGATGATGGTGGAAGGCCCTCTACAAATGCAATGCTGTTGTTATTGTTTCCCTGGCTTTGGAGTGTTTGACTTAATTCCACCGAGCCTCACATTGGCGCGGAAGCACAAATTAATAAGCACACACACGCACGCACACAAACAAACACAAAGATCCCCCGTATAGCCTTAAAAGACTCTAGGGGCAAGTGCTGTTAGCAAGCACCTATGAAGGCCGGAACAGTGCACGAGGGGGTGGGTGGCCAGCACCACGCCCGACCGCCTTTGTCTCCTCAGTGGCGATGTTTACACACCGCACCAGGTACTTATTCGAGGCTGAGTCGACCTAGGGGAGGCCCAAGACCGGTTCAGATAATAGTCACTGGTGTTGGCCGTGAGCGGGAATCGAACCCGGGTTGCTGGGTTCGTAGCGCAGCGTAGCGCAAATCCCTCTACACTACCGCTCCCCACACGCACACACACACAGCTCGCTACTCTGGACGTAATTAATACCTCCGGGTTCACGGCGCAGTGAGTACCTGGTGCGATGCGTAAACATCGCCACTGCACCGCGAACCCGGCGACCCAAGTTTGAACCCCAACCCAGGCTAACATCAATAACAAGCGGTAACGTAAACCGGTCATGCGCGTTTCCCGGATTCACAAACGCGCACTGACCGGCGTGGTGAAGTATGGTCAAACACCCCCTACTTGGATTGTTACATCCATCGCACAATGATCTGTGGCGACGGCTTGGAGGGGACAGATCGGGGATGACGATGATAAAGATCGATAGAAACTAGTTGAATTCATAAGGCTCTTAAATTCCTTGGCAATTCAAAGTACCTAACTGCGCATTTCATTTGGACAATTACGAATACACTGCTGCAGTCTAGCCAAGGGGGGCGTCCAGTGGTAGCCATCCCTGTGCGGCAAACAAGGCGCATTCACGCAACATTCTAACAGAGACGGCCACTGCGTCGCACGCTCTCGGATGCGCTTCTGCGGACGTCTGGAACGCTCTTCCTTCCGATATTCGTAAGCCATTGGGAGCTATTCAATTAAGCATCTCCCAGACTGAAATTTTATTTTCTTTAGACATGTTTTTTGTGCGCGTTTAGTTTGTTTCCCTTCGCCCGCACGCACCTCCGATTAATTATCACGGTTGTTTACGTACAGTGCGAACATTAAGTCTGCCAGTAGTGGGCGGATGGGAGGGCGGGGGGTGGAAAGAGGTGTTAATGTTGCGATGCGATCTGTTTTCTCCCCCGCGCCCCCCCGACCCCAATTATTCAATCATCATGATCGTCGTCATCTCCACGCTTACCTGTGTGTGTCCTCAGGTGAGCCTTGAGGTGCGAGCTCTTGGTGTAAGTCTTGCCGCAGCCCGGGAACTCGCACGTGTGGCAAGCCAACCTCCTGCGCCCACCTTGCGCCCTCCGCCCTCGGCGGGGCCTCGCGTCGGCCTCGCCGGACCCCGCGGCGACCGCCGACGCCGCAGAGCCCGCGGGTCGAGCCCCCAGCGAGGGGGATGTGGGCGGCGTGCAGGGGTTCGCGGTGGACGCGGAGGACGTCACCTGTTGCAAGAGTCCGGCCACGCTCTGCATGTGCGTGTGGTAGGGCGGAGGGTAGCGCCCGCTGTAGCTGCAGCTCTGAAGCGTGTACTGCTGATACTGCTGCTGCTGATGATGCTGAAGGTGCAGCTGATGTTGCTGCTGCTGCTGACCAGCGACCAGGTATTGTGGCAGTGCACTGCGCTGATCGGGAAGGTGGGACGGCAGGGATTGTGTCGAAGCCAGGTGAAAGGAGGTTGATGACGAAGAAGATGCAGAAGGCTTCTGCTGGTAACATGCCGTCTCCCTACGTTCCACTTTGACGCGAAAGGACGGCGCTTGCTGCTGCTGCTGCGGCTGCTGCTGGTGGTGATGGTGGTGGTGGTGATGGTGGTGAGCTTGCTGCTGCTGGGCACTCGCTGTCGAGGTGGACTCCCAAGAGCTCAAGTCGAGGGTTCCCGGCTCCATCTTGATGGCAAAATTGGCGTGGAAATCGGCGAAGCCGGGGAACTGTGACGAGCAGGGCAGGTCCGGCGTGAAGAGTTCAGCCACCAGACTCGAGCCCCCGCCGCCGCCGCACGCGGTGCCGGCGATGCCGCTCATGCCGCTCAGAGATGACTGATGCTGGGAGCTCGAGAATACACCGCCACCACCGCCTCCTCCTCCTCCGCAGCTCTCAGGGGTATCGGGTAATGGGTAGGATACCCCCGGCGCTGGGGGGAGCGGTGGGATGGGAGTGAGCGAGTTGGCGAGGATGAAGTCCACGATGTCGTCGTCCTCTTTGCGCTCGACCGGAGCTGGGCTGTCCACCTTCCAGCGCTACGGAGGGGAGGGCGGAGCGCACACGGCACGACGCGGTCAGCCACGAGGGTCGGCGATACTTGGTGTGTATGTAGAACTTCTTTCGCGCTGTACGTTGCCAACCGTGATAATCAGAGGTGGTGGTGTGGATGGTTGTGGTGGGGAGCGGTAGTGTAGTGGTTAGCGCGCTGCGCTACGAACCCGGCGACCAGAGATTGAAACCTGACTCACGGCCGACACCCAGTGACGATTACCTGAACCGATCCTGGGCCTCTCCTAATTTCACTCAGCCTCAAATGAGTACTTGGTGCGGTTCAGATAATCGTCACTGGTGTTGGCCGTGAGCAAAAAAAATCTAACTCGGGGAGACAAAGGCGGCCAAGCGTGGTGCTGGCCACCCACCCCCTCGTGTGCCGTGCTGGCTTCATGGGTGCTCACTAACAGCACTTGCCCCAACAGTCTGTTAAGGCTATAGGGTGGTGGTGAAGGGCTGTTGGGGCAATCACTTGCCCCAACAGCCTGTTGACGCTTTACGGGAAATGTGTCTTTGTGATGATGATGATGACGACGATTATGGCTGTAGCGACGTTCACGCCGCCGGTAGTGGTGGTGGCGAATGTATTGATGATACTGGTAGTGATGGAGACGATGGTGGTGGCAATAACGTACAATATAATAAGGGGCTTTAATACGGACACTAATAACCATTCATTCATCCGGTAAATTATCACCGAGTATCGCGGAATTAGGTTTCAGGAGGTCTACGCATTGCGAGGTTTGACTCCCAGAGAAAAAGCAGACCGCACATACGAGAGGAGAGACACTCAAAGCTCCGCGCAGACTTGCTCAAGAAGCGTGTTTCTGCTGTGTCGCAATCATGTGAACCAGCTCGCGGCCACACCCCAACCAACCGCTGGCACGGGCCAGCACCCAGAAAAGCACGAACCAGGTTCAACACCCGCTTAGAGCATCCGAGATGGGGGGGGGGAGCATGGGGGGCCGATTTGGAAAATGTGGGCGGACGCTGGTTTTGTAGCTCGTCGCAAGCGAAGGGAAACTTCACAAGAGCGAGGCGACCCAACGCTTGCATAATTCATCACGGGAGCAAGGTGGTCCCGACTGCGCAGTGGATATACGAGACACGGCCAAAGACACGGCACGCGCGTATGAACCATAAACTATTTATTTTATTTTACCAGGTAAGACCCCACTGAGCTATATCGCTCATTATCAAAAGCGACCTGGATATCACGAAATGATAGCGCAACGCAGTGGGCTTATCGCGTGGAGTTCCATAGCAGCAGCCAAATACACTCAACGAGTGCTTCTGAACGCATGTATTCATAGCGTGCGTGCGAGCACAACCAACAAACAATTTCAACAAGCGAGTCAATAACACTGTGTGGCGGCCTTAAACGAAGGACGCGTATATAATGGTGCGACGTTTCGGGCAATGTCCCTTTTCGTGTGCATCACTTGCCAACGCATCCATCGCCGAAAACTTCGCTTCGTAACGAACAGTTTCGTATTTAACGTTGCAAAAACGACGTTGAATTATAATTAGCACGGTATTGTTAGTCGCATTAGTTACAATCGACCTTTGTCTCCACGCGCCGCAATGTATGTACATATGCTCACGCTCCATTAGCATTACTGTGTACTTAGCTTGTGCCCTGCATGTAAGTGTATGTACAGTATGTACATATGAATGCCCGTGTTACACGTGTGTGTGTATATATATGTGCGTACCTATGCGTTCCGGCCACAAGGTTATTAAACAATATATTTTTTTAACGTTTTAAATTTTACCAGGTAAGGTCCACTGAGCTGTATAGATCTCTTTTTCAAAAGCGACCTGGCCACAAATGACAGCTGAACGAAGTGGCTTATCATTACGTAAAAATGTATAGCAGTCAAAAGCGTGTTTATTCTAAATGTGGAAGGAAAAAGCGGAGGACCCGTTGAGAGAGCAGACACAAACTCCAAATATACAGCAGGCGTCAGGGTCGGGATCGAACTCACTACCTCCTGTATACCAAGCGAGAGAGTTAACATCTCACCAGAGTGTTTAGGATGTTATATATATACACACACACACACATACACAACAACACACTCTGTAGATATCGAGCCCCGATTCGTGTTACCCTTCTGAACACGTACTTATAAACACACACACACACGAAGATCTGCATTGCAAAATAAAATTGTGGAAAATTTTTAATTGCGTTCAAAAGTATACTTCCCACCAGATAGTAGTTATTTTTTATCTCCCATGGTACAATCCTTACGTAAATATATGCGTTCCTTTAAAATGCGTTTGCTATTAATACTGTATATATGCATAATGCGAAGTAAAGTTAGTGCGGTGTTTAGCGCGCGCTGCGCTATGAAGTCGACGAGCCAGAGTCTCGTTGCAGACCGATTCTCGACCCCCCTTCTTTCCCTACTCGGCCATCAGCCAGCAACGACCGGCGTAGTGAAGTATGGCTAGACAACCCCCGATGACCCACACGACCTGGGGGCGGGGAGGGGGGGGGCCTTCATGCACGAGGGGATTTGAGAACAAGGAGGGTAAATTAAAATCTAATAAATGTTAAGGTATGAAATTATATTTACAAGAGATTGTACATCTCAGTTCAAGGCCATTTCATCGTCCGCGTCGCAGCTCTCACCCTTACGCTATGCACGTAACCGCAAATACGCACACGCCAATTTACGATGAATTAATGCAATTAAACACACGTGTAATTTTTGCAACGGCAATAACCACCAATAACAACAAACAAACCCGGGACCTTAACACCATCCCGGCACGCCAAATGCACACCCTTGAAAGCCACCCGACTAGTAGCGCCAGAAATAGACGAGACGCGGAACGCGCGAGTCGCAAGAAGCGGTGTGGCACTCACAGTGAGCATGTTGCTGAGGTAGCGATCGCCGATATCCCGACTCGAGAAGTTGTTGAACGACGGCAGAGACGAGTCTGCGACTGCCATGAGTCCCTGATTCTTTCTCGAGTTGCTGCAACACAGCAGCAGGCTGCTGATGCCGCTGCTGCTGCTACAGAGCTGCACTTGCAGCCGCTGCAGCAGGGCGCGTTCCGCAAGCAGCCGAGAACGTCCGTTCCGAACCCCGCGATCCGAACGCAGCGTGGAAGTCGCCGGCAATCTCCTGCTCGCTTAAGTCACCCGCACTTTGCTGCTGCTGATGCTGGTGGTGGTGGTGTTCGTTCCCGCCGCCGTCGCCCTTGATTTTCCGTTTAAATGGAACGGCGACAACTCGATGAATACATCTGTACGAAGGTGTTACGGGGGTTGCGCGCGGCACGCCGAATGTGAATAGTGATAATGTTTCAGTTGCTTGGCTGTAGTGGTCGGTGTTGGCTGCGGCTGTGCGACTGCGCCTTGCTGGACCCTTTTATGAGGTCCCCGTGTGATGCTCCAAATGCGCAAGCGCGACGCACGCGGGACAGGCCCCTCCCCCTCCTCCACGCCCCCCCCCTCCTCCACGCCCCCCCCCCTCCTTCTCTTCTTGAACACCCCTCCTCCTACTCTTACTCCAGCACGGTCATCATCCAATACCCCCCCCCTACCTCCAACTACGAAAACGACCCATTGGCTGCACCAGGCTTCCCCCATTATATTGTTCGCTCTTCATCACCATCATCTCCCCGGGTTACCGAAAACAAATAATGTCGCTTGCACTACCCTCCCCCCTCCCACCAACCCACCCCGACCATCATCCATCACCCATCACTCCCTCCCTCCACCTTTCTCCAGCCCCACCCCCTCCTCCTCGCCGCCCCCCCCCCTCTACACCTTTGACGTCACGGGATAGCGTCACAGCTGAGAAAAAAAGAGGTGCGGCGCGCCACGTGACGTGAGGAATGCTACGGGGCAAGATTTAGGATGCGAAGTTTATTATGGCGATGGTGGTGGTGATGCTGATAGTAACTATGATTATGGTGCTGCTGCTGATGCTGCTGGAGATGATGATGACCCTGCTGCTGGTGATTATGGTGATGCTGCTGCTGATGGTGCTGCTGCTGGAGATGATAATGACCCTACTGCTGGTGATTATGATGATGCTGCTGATGGTGATGCTGCTGCTGCTGGAGATGATGATGATGACCCTGCTGCTGGTGATTACGGCGATACTGCTGATGGTGATGAGCGCGGCAGGGCGCCTCGCAAGCGAGACTGCATATGGAGTCGAGGAGGGGAGATTCCATCACTGCCCCCTCTTCGCTCCCACACCAGCTACATAACTTATACAGATGTAGGACAAACGATGAAAGGAAAAGTGTTGAAACGTGCAACACAGACACATTAACGCAGCATCGAAGCGCCGCGCGCCTCTGCAAGGTGTAACTTGTGAACTAGCCTCGTTGATGCAACGCACGCCCCCACGTCCAATTCTTTACTGCATATTAATGAGTCTGCAAATACATATAAATATATTATCCTAGGAGCAAAAGTAGCTACATATGCAGCTACGGGCCCCGCAATTTCAAGGACCCCGCGCTAAATGTTTTCAAGCTATCTATTCCGGTTCAGTGATTCTGCACTTGCTATATTACTGTAGTACTATACCGCCTCCAACTTTTATGAACGACTGGGTGTTAAAGGTTAGCGATTTGTGGTATTATCTGGCTGTACAGTAAATGATAACATGCAATTACTTTATTATGCAAGTTAAAAAGTTGTATTTTAATATTTACGTGCTTTTAATTTAGGGCCCATTTATACCATATGCTACAGGCCTCGCACTAGCTTAATCCGGTACTGGCGGTCTTCACAAAGTGTCCATTCACTCAATAAAGCCTGCATACGCAGTCTAAATAAAATGCACATAGTCTACTTACACATGAGTGTACGTACAGTGTACTAAATGAGTCTACATAAACAGTGAATACACGTGATTTAAAGCTTTCGTGACTGCAGGGATTCATATTCTTGGTTCTTTCGGTAAAGTCACGTAGAAGGGAAACAATACAATAAAATAATATATATAAAACAATAAAATTATATATTTTGTTTGTTTCCCTTCTACGTGACTTTACCGAAAGAACCAGGACTCTAGTGGATACACAGTCTATAAGAAGCGTACCTGGACAGTCTATATTAAATAGCACCCTTTAAAATCTAATTATAAACGAACACCCTCGTGGTGTCTTCGAGCGACGTTTTGTTTAAGTCGCAAAGAAAAAAAAAGAGTTAATGCACCGGGGCTTCACTTAACTTGAGCCTCGTCAGCCTGGTCCGCAGCCCGTTGAGCAAAGTGCCGGCGGGCTGGCTTGCCTGCTGTGAGCGAGAGAGCGCTCCCTAGGCAACGGGCATTTAAAAAAAAAACCGAGCGAGAATTCTATTTTTTTTTTAAATAAACATATAAACATACGAAGGCCATACCTTCGAGAAGGCACCGGCCCCCGTACCCCCCCTCCCCTCCGTTCTTGGGCACACCTGAACAGGTGCGCGCGGCGAGTTTGACGAAACGCGATCATGGCTTCCGTGCAATGACGCGCGCTTGCACGCACCGCGACGACCCGAGGCTCCCCAAAACACCAACCACGAATTAATCCAAACACTGCTCCTAAGTAGAACCTTGGGTTCCCAGGAGCGGAGGGAGGGAGGGAAGGGGAGCAGGGAGGGAGGGGAAGGAGGGGAGGGGGGAAAGAGAGAGGAGGGGCGGAATACGAGCTGCGAGATTCGAAAACTAAACTTTTTTAAATAAAAAAAAATAAAAAATATAGGCTTTACCCTTTCTGGCAATAAAACAGGTGTGTCAAGATGTCCAAACACCAAATACGTACCTATTGCAAGGCATCAAGTGTGTGCATTAACCACACATACTTGCGGCAAACGCGAAAAACAAACAAGCTCTGATAATATCACTTTCATCATTTTGATACTGACAAAAGGTCTCATAGATATAATGTTTTCTTTCTTGTTTTTCAGCCGCAAATGATAGCTCAGTCAAGTGGCTTGTCACGTGAAAATGCACAACCGCCAAATATTCTCTAAGCGCACGTTGTTTCTGAATGTGGAGGGAAAAAAAACCGGAGGACTCGGATAAAAAAATCCACGCGACCACGACGGGGGGAGAGAGACACGCAAACTACAAATATACAGCAGGCGTCTGGGGCAGGATCGAACCCATGACCTCCTGCAGACAAGGCGACGTAGTTAACATCTCGCCACCGTGGCGTCCCCCCCCCCCCGCAAGAAGTTCGAACAGGGTTGAAGAATGATAACAACAACAACCACAACCACCACGACGACCCTGCACGGCGAGCGCGTGGCCCTGGCCATCCAGCATTGCGTGACCACGTGGACCGCACAGTCGACATCGCTGCTCATCTCGGTGGCGACTGAGGACAGAACGGACGCCGGGGCAGTCCTTCTGCACCGGTAGCTTCCTGCAGAGGGTCGAGAACTCCTTGTCGGCTCGCTCACAGTCTGTTAGGGCTACACGGGAGATGTTTTTTTTTATCTTTTCTGGTTTCAGTCACCGCGTGCGATACATTTTCTGGTTGTATCGCGAAGCGCTGGCCGCAAATGCTTAGAACAGCTGTACACGTTTCACGTGGCCCTGCTGATTTGTGAATTCACGCATTCGATCCGTCCCGGTGTTGAAACGGACAAATGAAACATTGTTAGGCGGCAGCAACGCAACAACAACAACAATAATAATTTACATGTATTTGTAAGGCGCCTTCCACTGATGTCTCAAGGTGCCTTGTAAGAATAAAGGAAAGTGTCAAGAGAGAAGCTAAAAAGAATTAACTCACTGAAGAAGATGTGGTTTTAATAACAATAAGCCCACCGCATGCGTTCTCCAAGTTCTGGGAGCTTCGTCGGGGAAACTCAAGCGCCCCCTTCCCCCCCTTTTCCACGACGTAACAGCGAAACGTTGGACATCATGCCGAACAACACGCGATACCAGCCGAAAACCCACAGCACAACCGCAAAAGGCCGCGCGGTAGAATCAGCTATTCGTGACCTTGGGAAATCTGCATTACTCTCCGTGGTAAAGTATGGTCAAACAACCGCCTGGACGGATATACATGCAAAAAAACCCAGTATATTTGTATAAGAACACATTCAGAAAAATAATAAACTCTTAAGCACTCAGTGACTTATTTGCAGACGCGAAACGTGTAAATATTTGGTTTTGCATGGAGCACACATAACAAATTTACAATTCGAGTACAATTCGAGGACTCGCGTGGGGTACTCGAATTGTAAATGTTGTCGATTAACCCTCCAACACACCGGTGTGCTGTACTAGTAATGAATTGATTAACTCTCCAACACACCGGTGTGCTGTACTAGTAATGAATTGATTAACTCTCCAACACCCCGGTGTGCTGTACTAGTAATGAATTGATTAACTCTCCAACACACCGGTGTGCTGTACTTGTAATGAATTGCCATGTTTTGTTTACGTGACAAACCTTACTAAATGGCTGTGTCGAGCGGTGGCGGGTTTAACGACACATTGATATTTACGCGATCCAACTCAAAAAAAATCTGTTATCGATGGAGCATATCTCTCTATATAGATATACTGTATGTTTTAATACTGAATTAGAGACCCTGGGACTAAATTCCTTGCGTGCGCGTGAATATTCGGATATTTCCATCTAAATGAACGATGTGCAATGTCGGGTGGTGGTGGTGGTGTGGGTAACTGGCACGCCCCGGAAAATCCAGAGAGAGACACGGAGAGAGAGAGAGCCTGGCGGTCCGAACTAAAAACAAATTCACGCGGACAGGTGAGCATCCCACGTGTTAAGCTGCCCATCTCATTCAGGTGGAGGGAGGGAGGGTGGTGGGGGGGTCTCTGCGTCACGAACAGATACATATCACCACGTTGTTTCTTTACGCATCGCAGGGCGCAGAAAGCTGTGATCCAAATACCTTTGTGGGGGGGAGGGAGAGGAAAAGGTTCGGTGGATCGCCGTTAAATGTTTTAAACTCCCCGAAATTTAACACGTATCAGCTTTCGCGATTAAAAAAATATTTGTTTTTTAAACATATAAGCGTGTCGTTAAACCCGTCACCACCCGACAGAGCCTGAAATTGCGAGATGGTCATAGAATGGCAGTACAGCAAGTAGGCTCGTCATTTTCGGGCCTCTGGACGCGGTGGGGGGGGGGGGGGGGGGGGGGTTGCCTGGTACTCATTCTGCTTTCCTCCAACACGAAGCAAAGCTCTGCTCATTTGGAGCCGTGCACTCTTACATCTAGATTGAAAACTCATTTCTTCAGCACCGCTTTTTTAGTCTTTAGTTTGTTGTCCTTCCCCCGCACCTTCGATTAGCACGGTTGACCACGTACGGTGGCGAACGAAGTTCAACATACATACAGATAATGCACGTACGTATGTTGCACTTCTTTTCGCAACCTTACGTAGCCAACCATGTGCTAATCGGGGTTGCGGGGGAA